GATCCCGGGACTCCAGGATCATGACCTGAGCCGAAGGCAGTCGCTTAACCAACTGAGCCACCCAGGCGCCCGAGTATGATGCCATTTTAAGAAAACATAAATATATGTATAAATATAAGTCTAGCAGTTTACACACAAGAATGTGAATCCATGGTTTTCTGTGGGTGGTGGATTTGTGGGTGGTTTTTATTTTTTTCTCTTTATGATCATCTGTATTTTGTACAAATTTTAACAGAACTATTACAGGTGTGATTTTCATAAGGCTTTCACTCTTTCATTCCCTCAAGTGTTTAACCTAGGGCGATGGGCATTTGGAGCACTATATCTCAAGTATGGTCTTCGGGCTCCTGGTTTAAAATGCAGATTCTGAGCCCCACTCTGGAACCATTGAGTGGGGGTGAGGCCCAAGTGTCTGCCTTTTAAATCCTGGGTGACTCTCCTGCTCCTGACACCCGAAGACCACTGCGGGCTTGAGCAGAGGGGTGTTGGGGTCTTCATGGGCTTCTCCCTGAGGCTGCAGGGCTTTTCTGAGGTTTTCAGAGGAGTCAGGTCTCAAGACAGTTCAGGAAACACTGCCCTTTCCTTACAAAGATGTAGTACTAGCAGGAAGAGTCCATGAATGCCATCTGCATCCCCTAACCTCTTATAGCAAGCAAGTCCAAGGACTCAGAACTGATTCAGCCAGTAGACCAGGATTAGAACACAAAAGACTAAATTTCTGTGTTGTTTTCACTCCATGATCCCTGACCCAACATTTTAGAAGGCAAGTATAACCTAGCTTCTCTTAGCATCCCAGAAGCATGATCCAAGGGAATTCATACCTTTCCTGGGTGCTATTTGGCAGCTTTGGGCCAGCATTCTGTCAGCCTAGTATCTGATTCCGGTTACCTCATGCTTATCAGAAGCTGATTCATCTATTCTTCCATTCATGCCTCTGACCAGCCATCCTTCCATCCGTTCATTCATTCAGTAAGCACTTGCTACTTTCCACTCTGTGCCAGGCCCTATGCAAGGTTCTGGGACAAGAGATGAGTAAGGCTCGGTCCCTGCTCTCTGCAGCCTCCCCCCGTCCAGCGATGGTGGGTAAGAGTTACAGTGCGATATGACAGGGCAAGGTGGAGGGAAAACTGATCTCCCATTAATTGAAAATGAGGAAAGAAATTAAACAGTTCTTCATAAATGCAGTTTCTCTGGTTCATTGGCTCTTTTTTTTTCAATAAAAAAAAAATTTTTTTTTTTTTTTAAGTAAATTCTACACCCAATGTGGGGCTCAAACTTACAACCCGGAGATCAAGAGTTGCATGTTCTAACGACTGAGCCAGTCAGGCACCCCATCGTGGGCTCTTTCTTTTTAAAACTTAAACCCCAGCTTGTTTCAAAAGCAACCGTATTCATACAGGACCGGGAGTGCACCATGAAATGTGATCTTTATCAAATCCTGCCTTCTTCCCCAGAGGCTAAAACTGCTAATAGTTTCTTGGGTATCTTTCCAGAAAATTCTATATATTCATGCATATAGAGAGAGTGAGTCTTCCCTGCCCCCAGTACATGAAAACATGTTGTTAACGCCGTTCTGTAACTTGGTTCTTTTCACTTAACAATACCTCTTGGACAGTGGCTTCTCCCAGTACCCACTCTTCAATGTTTGCCCTATTGATGGACGTTTGGGTCATTTCCAGAATTTTATTATCCTATACAGTGCAGGAATAAAGATCCTGATGGACGGAGTCACTCAATTCCTGGTGTCCAAAGAGAGAAAATGAAGAGGGGTTGTTTGGTGATGAAAATTTGGAAACAGCCTTCCAACAATGCCGAGCAGGTTTAGGGTTGAAATGACATAGAGCTGCCAGCTGGGCAGTGCCTGTCCCCCTGCTTCATCCTGCTGTGTCCTTCCTGCAGCTCTCGCCTCCCACGATTACATCTTGAAGATCGTGCCCACGGTTTATGAGGACAAGAGCGGCAAGCAGCGGTACTCTTACCAGTACACGGTGGCCAACAAGGTACGTGGTCCGTGGGCCCAGTTGTGTGCAATTGCGCCCTCTCCTGGCTCTAAGGAGAAATGACAAGCATCTGAGCGCCATTCCTGCTGGTTCTCTTTGGGGAGCCTTTCCTGGGGCGCTGCTCTGGCCAGGCTCTGTCCCTGGGTAAAGATGAGAGGCTAGTCTCAGCATCAAGGGGAGGAAGTCTAACCGGGAGATGGGTTGTGATCTGTTGAGAAAGAGCCTTGCATTTGGCCCCAGTCCTTCAGACTCAGGACCCTGATTCGTCAACCACAACAGATGTTCTCGCTCCTGGTGTACAAGCACTGTATCCAAAATCACCAGATGGCCATTGGTTAATAGGAATGTCCTAGGACCCCAATACGCAAAGTCCTGGAGAAGCAGGTAGGCCTTGATGGGAAGCAGAGCATGGTCAGAGCCCATGGAATGGGATGACTAACAGTCGTTTCAAGCTGAGACGGCCTCTGGCTTCCCGGGAGATGACCCTGCCAATGGACACGAATGCTTGCAACACGCTAGTTGAGGCACACCCCAGTGGATCCCTTTATCACCAGGACTGTCCTTTTCCTCCTGTTCTAGAGCTGCCCGAACCCCTGACAGGTGATATGTTGTTTAGCACAGTTGATAATAATAATAGAGTAGATACCATTTATTGAGCACTTACTATGGGTTGGATATTATACTAAGCTCTCTACCTCTACCATCTTTTCAGTCATGACAGCTCTGACTGGGAATGTCATTGTCCCCATTTTACAGATTTGGGGACAGTGACACTGTCTTGGCACTGAGGGGTGGTCATAGAGCTACAAAGTGGCCAAGTGGGGGTTAGAACCGAGTTCTTCTCTGGTTCCAGAGCCTGGCCTCTTGCTCACATCACCCACTCAGCCTGAACTGGGGCCGTTGAGTCTGTCGGGCTGGGAGCTGCTCTCTCTCAGGTGACTTGAGGTCCCTCTGCCTAGATCTCCCTGTGCTGATTGATGCTCTGGTGTAACTTTCCGAAGGGAGTCCTGTGTCTTTTACTCACTGTCTCTTGAAGGGCATCTCATTGTAACTGTCAGGTGCTGACTGCATCTAAGGGCTGGGATATGGATGCAATCTGAGCAGAAAAGGTGGGGCTGGAGCAGACTGCTGGTGCAGACCTGGCTCAGTCACTTGCTAGCTGTGTGGCCTGGGACATGTCACATAACCACTTTGTGCCTCTGTTTACTCATTTGTAAAAAGGATGGTTCCCACCTCATAAGATTACTATCAAATGAGGCAATGTTTTAAAAACTGCTTTGTTCACAAAGGAGGCTTTGGGTAAATACCTACCGCTGCTATTTTTCATTATTTTCCTCTATCCCTCCGCTCTGGGCTTTGACCCAGACAGTCACTCTGCCCCATCAGCTCTCCCTGGAGAAAGCTAATCTTGTTTTGCCCAAGGCTCCTTCCCCTGAGGCTTTGGCAAAGACCCAGCAGTCAGAACAGCTTGCTCAGCTCTCTCTGTGGCCTTGGCCCCAGCCTGCCCTGGGAAAAAGTGGGCCGTGCCTGTCGGAGCCGGCTGCAGTCCATCAGGGCGGGTAGGTCTTGGGTCATCCCTGGAGAAGCATCGGAGCGTGGGCCCTAGCATTTGGGACTGGGGGCACCCCCTGTGGTTTAGTCTGGTCTACAGTTATTGTGGATGAGTGAGAATAGCCCAGACAGCAAATGCCCAGACCAGAGAGGACACATGTTAATTCAGCTCATTAGCATCCTTTTAATCCCAGCCAGCCAAGTGCTGTCTCAGGAAGCCTTGTCTAGGGTCCCTTGGTCTTTCCAGTTCCGTGTGTTCCTTCTTTGAAGATGCCCACTCCCCACGTGGCCTTTATACTCATCTCTCTTACACACACACACACACACCCACACACACCCCTCAGGATGTCACATGTGGCCTAGAATGCCCCCTCCTCACTAAGCCTTCCAGCCAGCCTGGGGAGAGTTGGGCATTCGTCGCCGGCCCCCACAGCACTCCAGGCTTCTGTGGCACGGCATGGACAATGTGGCAGTGTTGTGGATAGTCTTCTACATCTGCTTCCTTCTGCAGACTGTGACCCCCTCTGGGGATGGGGCAGAGATTCCTCCCCTCAGGGTCCCCAGCAGCCAGCACCCACAAGAGGTGCTCAGCAAGCAATGAGTAAATGAATGGATTTTGCATGGCCAGGAATTAGAGGGGGAAATAGACCTTTACTCCGGTGTAGCCCAGATCACACCAGTCCTTTTACATCTCTGCTCTCCAATTCTGGTGCTGCTTCCAGGTCACATGGTCAATGTTCAAGCAGCCAAAAGAGTTGAAAATGTCCCCGGCAATGCTGCCCATCCAGCTGCTGACAGCAGAGCCTTCAGGGGAAGGGGTGAGAGGAACTGGGGGAGTCCGGCTCCAGGCAAGAGAGAGAAGAAGGCCCCTTGTTGTGGGTCGCCAGAGGACCCTCTGCAATCCACCCCCCACCCACCATGAGCCATGGTTTGTGTGTCTGGTGCTCACGTCCCCCTTCTCCCCTCCTCCACCCCAGGAGTACGTAGCCTACAGCCACACAGGCCGCATCATCCCTGCCATCTGGTTCCGCTATGACCTTAGCCCCATCACGGTCAAGTACACAGAGAGACAGCAGCCGCTGTACAGGTTCATCACCACGGTGAGTCGGGGGGCACCTGCCATGCGCCCCTTCTCCTGGCACCCTGCTGGCTCTTGAAGGAGTGGGAGGCAGCCCGCAGGGCTAGGATCTTGGGCTGTACACAGGAGGTGGTGATCCCTAGGGTGCTGAGAAATGTTATCAGAATCATGTCAATATCGACGGCGTGTTATCAAGAAAATATTTTCCAAAGGGGAATGTCACTAAATGAATGTAATTTGTTAAGCAGATGTTTGTATGGCTTAATGAGATGTTTGTGATTCTCTCCAGTGTCTTATTTTTATGGGTTTAGCAGGGTTTATCCTTTTCCGTGGAAATGTTACAGTGAAGATTTAACTCATTTTTTTCCCATGTCTATTTCCCAACTACAGCTACTTGTACTGTCGGGTTTCTTCTTTCTTTCCTGCCTGCTTGTTCTCTTTTCTTTTTTTTTTTGATTTTTTTTTTTTTTTTTTTTGCCATTGTCTCCATCAAGTCTGATTTTCTTTGGGGCAGCTTCAAGCTGATGTCATTTTTCTTTGATGCTGAATATTTCTGTCAAGGATGCTATTTCCTGGCCTCCCGTTCAAAGTGTCCTTGGGGGCAGAACAGCAGGCTTACAGCACCCTGCTTCAGCCAGGAGGCCCAGAGATGTTTCATAAGCCAGAGTCAGCTGAGGTGGACGAGAGGGGGTGATTATCCCTACCGCAAAGATTTGGAAACTGAGGACTTTTAAGGTCCTTATGCTTCTGTACCTCTTCATACTTTTAAAAATGATTCAAGATCAGGGGTCTAGTCCCGGATCTCTCATTTCTGGCTCTCACTAGATTTGTATTAGTCACAACTCTGTTACAGAAAAGACAGAACCCCACATCCAGCTGGCTTGATATAGGTAAGCCTCAGGCATGGCTAGATCCAGGCACAAATGTTGTCCAGAGTAGACGTTCTTTTAGTCCTGTTTTCCTCTATACTGGCTTCATTTTCAAAAAGAATTTCCTAATAGAAAGTGCCTCCTTCTCAGTAATTTGACCTGAGTCCTGGATAGGATAGTACTGTCACTGGCCTCACTGAGCTCCCATTCCAACCTCGCGGCCTAGAGAATGAAAGGGGTATCCCGGTTGACCAGCCCCAGCCGGATCACAAGGACAAAGATTGTGAGGGGTGGGGTTCCCCAAGGGAAAAATCAGGGGTCAGTTACTAGAAAACAGAGGGGTGGATATTAAGAGGCAAAAAGTTCAGATGTCCGCAACAATGTCTCCATCTTATGATCCACTACATAGCAGTAACAGGCCCTACTCCGCCTGCCTCCCAGGCCTCATGGGACCCAAAGGACATCATCGAAGGGAAGCTCTTTGCCTGATAGAAAGCCATGTGGGTGCAAAGGGTGTCAGAACCCTAGTGCTTATATGAGCGTCACAATAGACTTATGCTACTCTCTGACTCCATACAAATTTGAAACTTTTGGTCAACAGAGGGCACCTACCATAAAGCTAAGACACCGGACACAGATTGGGAAAAGGTATTTGTCACATGTACAAGAAAGGAATAATCTTCAGAATTTATATTGAGAGAATTCCTACAAACCAGTAAGAAAAAGTTAAGCGACCAGAAAGAAAAATGGGTGAGGACTTGACCATTGGAGAGACGATACTGGCCGTGAAAAGATGCCCGAGTTCCCTAGAAATTGGAGGAATTTGATTCAAAATACAAGACCCGGTTTGCTCCTATCAGACTGGCAGAAATCACAGACCTGCCACAATAGAGATCGGGAGGACGCACAGCAAGGGGACCTCTATCCACTATCTGGTACACAGGTAAATTGGGTCAGCCGCTGGGGGGGTGACGCACAAACCCTTTGACCCAAAAGCCAGGGGACTTGTGAGCAAGTAATTTTACCCAAGGCCGTACAGGGTAGCACCCCAAATGGTTTGGGCTTTTTGTTTTTTGTTTGTTTGTTTTACCCCAGCGCTCCTACCGCATGCCCGGAGTAAGACAGAGACTAAGACACAAGTCGGTGTGTTTGTGCCATGTGTTCGCTTCTCAGAGGCCCTGGGGTCTGCGGCATTGGCAGTGAGAGAGAAACCCCCTTTGTCTGTGTCTCATTGTAGGGTTGAGAAGGCTCTTCATGTCCCCTTCTTCTTTGCTCCCATATGCCACATAGCTGAGGCTCTGAGTGTGAAAACCCCTTGGCAAGTGGCTGAGAAATGAAGCAACTTCATTTATTCGCTAAACTTTTGCGAGAATCTACCACGTGCCAGGCCCCGTGCTGGGCAACAGAGGTAGCTGAATTTGGTCCCAGCTGGTGGGGAAGAGGTGTGAGCACGCAGAGACCTGAGTCCCGTCCAGCAGGGCTTCCACTGGAGCTGTGCACCGGGCACTGTGAGCAACAGCTGCCTTTGGTTTGGCACATTTGGAGAAGGAAACCCAGAGATGGGTCTTGAAGGATGCAGAGACATTTTCTAGACTGGTGAGTGAAGCAGAGAGGGTCTTAGCACAGGGAATAGTATGTGCAGAGGTGCCCGACAATGGCATGTTTTGTGAAGGCCATGTGGCCTCTTTTGATGGGGGTGGACTTCTGAGAGCCGGAGGTCCCAAGAAGTCACAGGGGGAGAGCCTGTCCTTCGTAACCCAGAGGCCAGATACCTCCATGACTCCATTTCCTTCTCCTCCTGCCTTTGGCCATCAGCCTCGCCTCCATCTCGGCGCCGTCCACCTCTGCCCGAGCATGGGCCATGCTGAGGGAACCTCCTGACAGCATGAGCCTGGTGGTGTTTCTGAAGGCCCCGGGCCACCATCATGGTTGCCACGGCAACCGTGGGGGTCAGCCCCAAGTGAGCCAACCGGCTGTCCCTGGCAGATGGCGTCATTGTGGAGCTTCAAAGGCCCTTGTCACGAGACGAGACAGCAGATGTGGGGATGACGCTCGCATGCAGACACACACAGCACAAAGAGCCCCAGGAGCCCTAGCAGCGCGGGGTGGGGCCAGGATGGAAGTGGAGGCACCTGCTGTGACTTCTCTTTCTCTCTTTTTAAAATCAAACACTTGTGTGCAAAGCCCCCAAACCCCAAATGGGGACCTCTGCAAATAGCTCCTCACGGGGGCTGTTTAAGAGAGGGCTTAGGCCAGAGGCCAGGATGTCGTCATGTGGCGGCTGCAGGGCTTCGGAGGCAGCTGTGGGTGGGCTGGAATGAGGTGGGGTGCCGTTCAAGGGGGTGTGGGTGTGGAGGGGAGAGGCGGGTGGGGCCTCCCTGACGCATTTGTACCTATCAAGTACCTGGCTTATTCGAGGTTGCCCCTCTAGGGTCTCATGGTCTGCAAAGGACTTGGACATCCCGAGTCTGAACAGAGGAGGATCCCTCCTCCCGGAAGTCTCCACCAGGCTGCACGGGGCTTCTCTCTCTAGGCACCCGGGGCATGTTGCTCAGACTTCCGCTCTGTGCTATTCCAGAAAATTCCACCACTAAAGGAATAAACAGATGGTATTTAACAACATGCAAGTGATCCCTTTCAAAGTGCCCCCTCCCACACACGCACATTTGTCCCCTGCCCCTGCCACTTGCCAGAGCCCCTTTTTTGGGATTGCCTTCAAGTGGGTTGTGGTGACAGATTGGATGACTTCAGCGGTGTCACATCACTCTCCTTGTGTGTTTTATTCCATAAGGGAGGAACAGCCAGAAGTCAGAAAGTACCACATTGGGCCAGTTTGGCAGTGACACTTTTTGCCCACCAAAAAGTACCAGCTGGTAATGGCATGCTTCCATTGGGCAGCAGGGATAGCTGAACTAGACATAATCCCTGCCCTCCAGGTGCTCCTTGCCGTGAAATAATCCCCCAAACTTTAGATTGCACTTTATAATTGCCAGGCCTGATTATGATGAGCTCCAGGTCTGATGCCCCTGTGTGTCCCCAGCATCCAGCACAAGGCCTAGCCTGGATGTAGGTACTGGATGTAGGTACACAGAAATATACAAGAGACAGCTGCTTGAAGAAGTGATTGTATAGCTACGCTTATTAAGCATTAATCTTACAATTATCTCCTTTAACTGTCCCAGGAACCCTCCAAGGTAGATGATATCAGTCCTGTTTTATATATGAATTAACTGAGGTCCAGAGAGGTAAAGAAACTCATCCAAGGTCACACAGCCACTAAATGGCAAGGCTGAGACTTGATCCCAGAGCCTGCTTCTGTCACATCCCCCACCCCACTCCCAGTCCCACCACTTAGCTTGGGAGCCTCCATCCTCCAAAATAAAGGCTCTCGAAGATGTCCCAGCAACAGAGTCCCCAGAAACCATGGAGCCCTTGGTGGGACACCAGGATGATTTGATACAGTGACTCCCTGCTGGGAATCGGGAGGAAATGTTATAGCAGGAAACAAGGTGACATTGTGAGCATGAGTGACAAAACTGGGGAGGTTTTGCCCCATAAGGCTGTATGAGTAGGGAAGAGACCAGCTTTGTAGCTGCACCCGAATCTCCCCTACTCAGACTTCCCTTGGTGTGTCTCTCTTTCCTGGACCATGAGCTCCAGGAAAACAGGGCAGGGCCTTAGTCATCTCTGGTCTCCAGACCTGGGGCAGCACAGGTAGGTGATAAGTAGGCATCAAACACTGAGCAGATGGATGGAGGGGTATACGCCTCCGTCCACCCCCATACCACAACAGTTTCTATTATGTGAATTGTAAAACAGAGCCCACATTAGCAGTAGCAGCTCAGTTATTCAGGGCTGGACATGTGTAAAAAACTTTGGTTCCAATCTTTCCAGACGTTTGAGCAGAGCTAGATTTTCTAGAAGGTTGTGTACCAGGGACAGATTGCTCCAATTGGGTCTGCACACAGATCTCTCAGTTGCATTGGAAACTCCTGGTGCTTGCTTTTTGAAGACAGATTCTGAGACATATAAGGAATACTGGAATGAATGGAGAGAGCTCCCTTTACAAACTACACTTATTTTTACAACCACACAACTTTGTTGATGGGGTCCTCTTACTTCAGGACATTTGATATGTAAAACCTAACAGAAT